CTCTCTCTCTCTCGTGTGGAAATTTTTTCTCAATGTTGTGACTCACGACCTCACGTGCTTTGTAAATATTTAGATGAAACCCGCCATTGCAACAACCGCCAATGACGGAGAGACCGACGTCATGGAAACAGCAGCCATTCTAAGTGGTCGTTCCCCTTCATGCGAGGACAACGGAAAGATAGTTCATTAGCACACCAGCGGCGGGGGAACCACTGCAGCATGTGATGACGTGTTGGTCACTATTCAAATGGAAACTGAGCAGATGCTGGCTAATGTGGATGACAACGAAAGCGGTGCACGAGGGAACAATGGTCACACAGAGAAGGTGGGTGGAGAGAGAGAGGACGAAGATGTTGGCATCGAGGGTCCTCACAGTGGATGCACTGTCAAAGATGCAAATGTGACAAAGACAATGGCAGGAGATAGATACCCGTACGATGTGAACTGGGTGCCTGGTCGTGTTCAGCCTGGTATCGTTGGAGGTGTGGATTGCTTTGCTTTCAAGGTTGGTGATGAGTGGGTTGCTTTTCCTCCCCCAATGAATGAAACATGGCGTAACGTATGTCTGTCATTTATCTATGACAGACTGTTGAGGTTAAATGACGGGGCAACGACCCAAGATGCTTGACGACACGCATTGGACATGTATCGTGTTCTAGAGGCAAAGGGTGAGTTGCACCTCAATGATTTCCTATACGACAACGTTGACTGCGGTCGGCTGTGGGAGTTGGGTGGCCAGCAAGGCAGGAGGAGAACGCCAGTCACCCAGGATGATGCAAGGAGGGATCTTCGATGGGGTTGGGTGCCATCTGCAGTCCCATTTGGATATGACCGTGTCAAGATGCAAGTGCGTGATATCATGGGCAATGTGTGGAGCGCGCATTACGTGAATGGCATGTTTTCGTTCCGTCATTTCGACAGAGAAGCAGCTGCAGAGGAAAAAGAAGCGATGAGATGCAGGCCACGCGATGCACGCATTTCTGACCCGCCACTCGGCAATCCTGTCGAGTTGGCCCTCGCTGAAGGGAAGGTGTTTACAGGTGAGAAGCGCATCACATACGTCCACGTTATGGGGAAAGAAACCACATTTGATGGCATCTGTATGGACGTATGGGACCATACAGCAATGCGGAAGGATGTCATCGCAGCCAGTAACATTGTGGCGCATGTGATTCAAGAAGGGCAGTTGTACCAGCATGTGGTCCGTGACCATGTCAACTGGGTACCTGGTTCTTTGCATCCAGCAGTTGTTGATGGCAAAGTGACACTGGCAGCAAGGATGCAATCCGGTGAGTGGCTGCCTTTGGGTTGGATGCATGCTGGCGTTGTGGAGCATTGGCAGTTCTTGGTGGTGGTGACATGTGTTTCCGTTTGCAATCCTCATGTGAGGGACCGGCGATTGCTGGAGGAACACGCTCAACGTTGTTGGGAGAAGATAAGGGAGGAAGATCGGCAGATGGTGTGCATGGGATATGACGACCACAATGACCGGGCGATGTGGTTCATTGTGGAAGACGCGTGCACCGACCAACCACGGCCCTCGACGAATAACTTGTTGCTGGAGGGCATTTGACACAGATACGGGTGCACATCACTACTTGGGTGGATCCCTGTCGTCTGTCCCATGACATATGAGCATGGGGAACAAATGTGCATGAGATTGAGAGACCCTCTAGGTGTCCCTTTCCAGCTCACGTTCATGGATGGGCTGCTGCGACACATTCAGTATGCGGGTGATGACGACGGTCATGCTGCAATCAACCCTCAACAAACAGCACAGCAGCAACAGGACATTTCACATTTCTCCTCTGAGGTCGACGCCCCGGAAACGGCACATGATGGGGGATGTTCTCACGCACAGCCCGACGACGGTGACACCCCTGTGGAACACGTGACAGGGAGGGCAGAGAAGAAGAAGAAGCAGTGCACGTCCAGGCCGCCTCGTCATCCCAGGAGTCCCACAAAAGCAAAAGGCAAAGAAAAAGTTGTCCCACGTAGAGGCGAGACTCCCAAAGCAGCCGTTGCCCCAGCTCCTAAGCGCAGACGCCGCCCGGGGATGGCAGCATTGGCAGAGATTCGGCAACTCCAACGATCTACTAACTTGTGCATCGCTTTGAGGCCGTTTATGAGGGTAGTGGGCAAGATCGTCGAAACAGATATCGCACCGGGGGAGTCTATGAGGTTTTAGATGAGCGCCATACGTGCGTTGATGGAAGCGGCGGAAGCATATCTCATCAACCATTTCGAGAGAACGAACATCATTGCTATCCACTGCAAGAGGGTGACGATCCAGCTGAAGGACCTGAGGCTGGTTGATAACTTGTCCAAGGCTCGCTGGGAATACAGATACCAAGGCATTACCGACGAGCAGAAGAGAGCAGAAAAGCTACGGCAGATGAATGCTGCAAGGCAAGAGGAAACAGATGCGCGGGCGGGGAAGGGGCTGTCAGGGAAGACAGCAACAGCACGCAAAGGCGGTGACACTCCARCGGCGTCATCGAAGAGGAAAGGAGCCCCGCGTAAAGGCAATGCAGCAAAGAAAAGCACGAGATAAGAACACAGTGAAGACTGCAGTGAGACCGCGCCACGTGACTTGCATTGACTTGCTGTTATCTGCGGCCTGCGGCGGGACACAGGGGCTGTACTGTAGTAGTGTAGATTCGTTGTTTTGTTTGTGTGTGGGCCTGACCGTTGACTAAGTTTGTTGGGACTGACCGCACGCCCCATATGCAATTCTGAATATTGTTGGGCCAGTACCAACCGCTCTTGTGCATACGACCTCACTGTCGAATTGACAGCCCCGGGGTATTCGGAAAGCCAACGGTGTCAACCGCTATTCTGTGGGATGAGCCCGTAGCCGGGTAAGGTCCAGGCCAAAACTGGGCAAGTTGAGTCGGTGCCGTTGGTATAGGTGATAGCGCAGACTAGGGCAGGCGTATGTAAAGTGTAGATGCATGCTGGGGGATCTTTCTGCCCAATTCATACTTCGTGGTGTGAGTTCCTGTGCACGACGTTTGCTGCACGAGTCTGGGCCCGGCACACAACCGCTATTGTGTTGTGTGCTGCATGAGCTGCGTACTGGCGATCCTGCAAGAGCTGTTATGTGCTGCATGAGCTRCTGTGAGCCGTGTGCTGTGTGGTATTTGAGCTGYTGTGTGYTGTGCGGTGTGTGTTGTGTGCTGCACGAGCTSCTSCRTGGTGTGTGCTGTGTGTTGCATGAGCTGCTGTGTGTTGTGTGTTGTGTGTTGTGTGCTGTGAGTTGTGTGGTGTGTGCTGTGTGTGCTGTGTGTCACCTGCTGTGTGCGGTGTGCTGCATGAGCTGAGTAGTGGCAGTCCTCCTGTGTGCTGCATGAGTCTGGGGCTAGCAGCGGTCTGGCCTATCACAGGACTGATAGTGGAGACCGTGCGGTAAGCCTCAGACCTTCGTCAAGTTTAGGGTGGAGTTGGCGAGGTGCAGCCATAGCTGCTTGTTCTCAGAGAGTTCATCGTGTGAGCTTCATCGACGTCAGAGACTGTTGGTGCTGTGCTTCTTCTGCGTCCTCAGTGTTTGACTGTTTCGTCGTCCCGCTGGTCTGTCTCTCTCATGTTTTTGTAGCGCTTTGTTCACCGCTTGTGTGTATGCTGTTGAGGTGGCGCTGATGTGGAGTCGCCACTTCGGTGAGTTCGACGAGAGTTTGTGCTGCGCTGCTAAGCGCTTGAGGTCAGGGGACTTGAACACTCTTTGTTATCATGATTTGGAAATATATGGCAGGCCACAACTGTGTTCTCTTCTTCTTTATCCTTGTGTATGGTGTGAAGACTTGTGCTCATTCAGGGGGTTGACGATGCGTGTTGTGAACACACTTGCGTCTAATGATGTGAATACTTCTGCAATTGTGAGGTACACAGCAGAGACAATACATGGAGAGGACTTGTTCACAGACATCTTCTCGTTTTGTGCACTGTGATGGTGGTGATGTCATTGTGTACAATGCGATACTGCGACATGTGTGACAATGCATGGTGGCATACACTGACATACACATAAACAGATTATGTGTGAGTGAGGGCTGGCAAATTGCAGCTGACAACTATGTGCATAACACATCAATGACCGATAGTATATGTGTGTCGTTTAGTATGTGGGCGTGTGTATGACACATTGTTCACTAATCCTGTGTCTGTTTGTGTTGTCATATGCGCTGCACGGTTGAACCACCGAAGCAGAATTATCAAACCAAAATCTGCATCTTCTGAAGCATTCAATCTACAGTGTACGCCGTTGCATTCGTCRACAAAGGTATGGTTGYCTGTGTACCTTKAAACTCAAGCCTGCTCTCCCTCTGTTTGTTTTCTTCTCCCTACAACATGTGCACTCTCTTCGTCCTATATCCCATGTCATGCTCTCCCTCTGTTTGTTTTCGTTTTATGACTACATCATGCACACTCTTGACGTCTGCGGTGGTGAAGGGAAGTGAATATCATACTTCCCGTCTTTGTGACATTCCGTGACTTAATGTGACACACAGGCATGTCGAGGCACACGGACATACACAAACACACTTCCTGACTGTGTCTGTGTCTGTGTCTGTGTGCGTCTGTGTGTGTCTTTCCTGCATGTCTGACTGTGTCTGTGTGTCCGTGTCCCCCTGTCTGTGTCTGTTCCTGTCTGCGTATGTCTGTGTATATCAGTGTACGTCTGTGTATGTCCGTGTATGTCCGTGTATGTGTATGTCCGTATGTCTGTGTCTGTGTATGTCCGTGTGTCCGTTTGACACAGGCTGACACACGGACATACACAGACACGGACATACGGACATACACATACACGGATATACACAGACATGCACTCCCAGGACACAGACGTACGCAGACAGGAACAGACACATACACGGAGACACAGACACACAAAGACAGACAGACACGGACATAGACACACACAGACACAGAGAGGGACACAAACAAAGACACGGACACACAAACAGACACACACACACACACAGACACGGACATGTCCAAGTTGACTACTGCGTGCCGGATTCGTTTCGATGTCATTGAATCGAAGAAATTATGGCACCCAGTAGCCAACCCTCGTATGCGGACAGAGACGCACACGGATACACCGACAGACGCGGACACACAGACATACGGACACACAGACAGACACAGACACAGACAGACACAGACATAGGCAGACACGGACACAGACATACGGAGACACAGACAGACACAGAGACAAAAACAGAGACAGACACGGACACAGACATACGGAGACAGATGGTGACACAGACACAGACACAGACGGATACACAGACATAGACGGATACACACACAGACATACA